CAGAACTGAAGTTGAAGTGAGTATGATCAGAGCGTCGGGTTCTGTTTCTGGCACTGGCTTTAAATTCACTGCCTGGAAGTGAAAGGTGGTGCTTCAACAAAAGTTGGAGCTTCTGTAGCCTGTTGCTGGCATGTTTACAACCAGGAACTTGGAAAAATATGTCAGCATTGCCACGGAAAGCTTTGCTGCCCAGAGGGAGTAGTGCAAGGAGTACCCAGCTGTAGGTGCTGGTACCTCTGGGATCGCAGCCTGTAAATATTTGCAGTCTGTGCAGTGATCCCCTTTCCCCAAGGAACGATTCCTCTGGGGAGGCAAAAATAGGGATAGTGCCATGTTCCCTGGATAGTATAGTATCCAGAGCAGCTCTGCTCTGTCCTCAGTTCTTAACCTGTCACTGGACTTTGTGTTGGCAGTTTCTCGTCGTGACTCCCAGAAAGGCTCAGTGGGAGGTGGCAGCAGGAGCTACTCCAATAGTGTCTGGTAGATGTTCCAAGCAAAGCTTGTGTGACAAAATAGTGACTGTGCTGATACTTGCCGTGAACATTTTTAGTGAGTGAGTCAAAACCCTGTTACCTGCCCTAAAAAACTAGCTTGTTAAGGTTCCTACAGGTTTTGATGTGGCTTGGATGGAAAAATGAGTTGAGTTAAAAACTTGATTTAATAGAGATAAAGCAAACCAGAAAAACTGAAAAGAGTTTCAAGTTGCAGCCAAGTTGGTAACTGAGGCTAAAGCTGCTGCTGTGAAGTTTAAACTGGTCTGTTAGTGGAAACCTTCTGCAGTGACCACATTGCCTTGCTGAGGCTGTGGTTTGAAAGCTGATGGCTCTGAGCTTCAGAGAGGCTTATTGGTAAAAGTCTTGCTCTTCCCCTACTTCTTCTTGGATAGACCTTAAAAATAACCCTACACGAACTGAGCCTTGCTGCTGAGGGGTTTTGCTGTCTAATGAGTGACTAATTCTGCATACACTGTAAAGGCATCAAAGAAAATATCTACTGAGAGCCACCTCCAGCACTGTGAGGAGTTCTTGCTGTTTCTCCTGCTTTGGTTCCAGCAGCCAGGTTGTGTGGCAGGTGGGGCAGGCTGGGAGCTGTAGGCTGCCCGTAAATGTCAAGGAAGGGATAGGTGGACTCTGCTGTGAGTCAGGAAAATTTATTTCCTGACTGTTGAACATACTTCAAAGTTCAGGTGGGTGGGGAGCAGAACTGTGCATCTTCAATGCTAAAATGAACCGAGTAGGGTTGGGTTCACTTGTTGGGTTTGGTTCTAACCTTGCTCTCTCTCCTTCAGCTACTTGGAGGACGCAGTGATGCACCTGGACCAAAGTGACCCCATCACCCGAGACCACATGGGGTCAGTCATGAACCAGGTGCGGCAGAAGCTCTTCCAGTTCCTCCAGGTGGAACCTCACAACCCTCTGGGCAAGTCTGCACGTCGCCTCATGATCATGCTCCAGGGCCTGGTCACCCCCAGCATGACCTAGGAGGACCTGGCTGCCTCGTGGGCTGCTCCACCCAAGCCCACCCAGCAGATCAGTAGTTACAAACGACGTATGGCTTGTGTTAAGAGCTCTTGCCAGGAAATCTATTGACACACGTGTGATGTCTCTAAGGCGAACGCCGTCTGTGTATAGTTCCAAATAGTCACTGAACGTTCACTTGGCTTCTTTTTCCTAAATAGCCTCTTTTTGAGAGAGTTAAATCTCTCGTTCACCTGCCCATCCGTCCCCGAGGCCTGGCTGGCAGTCCCAGTCGCACGCAGCAGAAGCCGATGGATTTTCTTACCCCTTTAAAAGTCTGGAGTCTGCTGCCATCAGCAAAGGAGAAGGGAGGTGTGCGCTGAGCCCCGACACGTGCTCCTGGCTGACCAGAAACCTGTACCCACATCTTAGTGAAGGGCTCAAACTCCTCCTCCCCGCGGGGCCGAGGCGCAGGACCAGCCGAGCGGGAGCGGTTAGTTCAGGTGTTAGTTAGTTCTTAGTTACTCCAAAGTTGGTTAACTCCAGATCCACAGTGGGGGGGTCTGGCCCACCCGAGGCAGGGTCGGGCAGGGGGTGCTGCCTCTGGAATGCCCCAAGGGGAGGCTCTGGGTTGGGGTGCTCAGACAGCAGTGAGCTGCCAGAGCCCCGGGGGGGCCACTGGTTCTGTTGTGCATCAGAGCATGTCCATGTTTCAGGCATTAGTTTCGGTTCTTACACCAAGGTTTTTCTTTTTATCTAAATTTTGAAGGTTTTTTGTTGTTTGGGGTTTTTTTGTTTGAGTTTTTTGTTTTGTTTTTCTTTTTTTTTTTTTTGAAATAACATTAAGAACAATTCAATAAAAAACTTTTTGAGAAAAAAAAAAAGTGGGGACCTTCTTCTGCTGTGTGATGGAGGGAAGACTGCATGGCCTTTGAGGATATGAAACCATCTCCAGGCTTGAGCCTAGGCCAGGATGCCCTCTCTCTTCCCAGATTTTCTCCTGAGTGTCTCTTCAAGCTTTCCCGTGTGAGTCCAGCCATCTCTGCTTCCTGGGAAAGCCAGGAGGTGGTGGTGGGCTGCCAGCTGTGGAAAGTGAACACTAATTCTCCTTTTCACAGCAAAAATGTCTCCTGCTGCTCCTCCCTCCTGGAAAAGAGAAGAAAATACTCTGGGGAGACCTTAGAGCACCTTCCAATACCTAAAAGGGCTCAAGAGAGCTGGAGAGGGACCTTGGACAAGGACATGGAGTGACAGGACAAGGGGAAATGGCTTCAAAGTGACAGAGGGCAGGCTTAGATTGGATATTAGGAAGAAATCGTCCCCTGTGAGAGTGGTGAGGTACTGCCGCAGGTTGCCCAAAGAAGCTGCCCCATCCTTGGAAGTCTCCAAGGTCAGGTTGTGGCTTGGAGCGACCCGGTCTAGCAGAAGGTGTCCCTGCTCATGGCAGGGGGTCGGAACGAGTTGGTCTTTCGGGTCCCTTCTAACACCAGCCGCTCCTGCAAGGAGCGGGGTCCAGCCCCGGGGGCTCCTCCGCCCCTCGGCAGGGCGGGCTCAGCCGGTGCCGGGGGCTGGTCCCGGGGCGGTGCCGGGGGCGGGGAGCGGGGCCGGGGCTGCGGGCGGCGGGCGCGGAGCACTCGGCGGCGGCGGCGGCGGCGCGGGGTCCGCACCATGGGCGGCGGCTGCTGGCGGCTGCTCGGCATCGTGTGCCCGCTGCTCCTGCACCTCGGTGAGTGCCGCGGGCCGGGCTGCGGGGCGGACACCGCCGGGGCTGGGGGGGGATGGCGGGTGGGAGCGGGACCCCCGGCCGCCTCCGGCTCTGGCACCGCCGCGCCTCCCGCACCCCCTGAACAGGCGGGGAGCGGGGCTGCCCGGCTGTCCCGCGGCTCAGCGATCCACCCACCCTCCTCCCGTGTCCTGCGATGCTCCGACCCGGCTTTGCAGCGCTGTCCGGGGTCCCTCTGCTCCGGTTCTCCAGTCTCGAACCAGCCCCGCGTGCTCACCCCATGTTCCCACTGGCTTTCCCTGCTGCCCTCTGTCGCCCTGACCTCTGGGGAAGGGTCATCCAGCAGGTCCTGCACCTCACCGGCACCAGCGCGTCCCCTCCACACTCTCCCGCTCCTCCGTGAGCCGAGGGAGGACGCGGGGCAAAGCGGTACCCAGTGACATCCCTGCCCTGAAGAGGGAGGGAGGGCTGGGGTTAACCTGGTCCGGCCGCGCGGAGGGTGGAGGACAGGGGCCACCGAGCTTCGGGAGGATTTCAGGCTCAGAGGGTGGGTGATTCCGATCCTTCCCCGGGCGCAGGATGGCCGCGTCGGCACCCGCTTGGGAGCAAGCGATGCTCTGCAGCGCCCTGGGAAACTTCCTCCCTGCGTTTCCTTTGGGCTTTCTCCCTGACGGAGCCGGGGGGCAGGTTTTTCCCCGTGGTTTTGCAGCGGGGTAGTGGAGATGATTTACCCTCCTGGTTTCTCCTTCCTTGTCTGCCCTGCCCAGCCTTGTGCCGAGGGAGCTGGGCAGAGGGAAGGGCTCGTGCCGGGAATTAGAGGAGCCCAGAGGAGCAGGGATGAGCCGGCTGAGGGCAGGCATCTGCTGGTGTCCCTGGGCTGGTGGGAAACGTGCTTGACTGGGTCAAAAGAGGAGCAATGGGTCCCACTTTATCGATACCTGCTATGTTTGTGCCCCACGTGTCTGACATCAGAGACTGGCCTTGGTAATGTGCTCGGGGGTTCTCATCACAAACACGTGCTGTGCCCCGTGATGGGCTGTCAGGCTTGTTGGTCTCGGCCACAGGTGCTTTGCTCAGGACCTTGTTCCAGGGGCCCAGGCATGGGATGCCAGCAGCCAGGCACACGGCTCCCTGGAGACATCCTGGCTGCCTCAGCAGCCACCGGGCAACTTTCAGCTCCTTTTGGGGTCACCTTCCCACAGGGGTCCCCAGCAGGACTGTCCTCAGTTGGAGACCTCCCTGGCACACACCCATGGCACTTCCAAAAGTCTCGCAACTCCCATGAACTGGCCCAGGGAACCCATATCTCTCTGGCCATGTGGGACCCCGGGGGCAGAGCTGGGGACCACGCAGGGTTTCTCTGTGACCTGGCCACACACCTCTTTGGTGACCCAGCCACACGCTGGCTCTTTTGGGACTTCCCCCAGCCATGGATGCACTCACAACCCTGGCCAATACACCCTGTCACCCATCATCCCATGGCCAGTGGTGAATCCTTTGTGGAACAGAGCAGGGAATTGAGGCTTCTCAGGACAAAGCAGCCAGAGTTGCACTTGTGCCTCTTCCTTTTGTGCTTTTCCTTCCCCTTTCCCTTCCCCCCTTCCCCTTCCCTTTCCATTTTCCCTTTCCTCTTTCTCCTTTCCACTTTCCCGTTTCCATTCCCCCTTCCCCTTCCCCTTTCCTCCCTTTTCCTTCCCTTTTCCCCTTCCCCTTCCATTCTCCCTTTCCTTTCCCCTTTCCCTTCCTCTTCCTTCTCCCTCTCCCCTTCCCCCTTTCCCCTTTCCTTTTCCTTTCCTCTTTCCCCCTCTCTCCCCCTGCAGTCGGAGCAGGGACTCCAGCTTGCTGAGCCTTTGCTTTGTTTGCTGATTTTTTTTTTTCCGTTGTAGTCACAAATTAATCTTTGCTGTCAGGGGATAAAGGCCGGGACAGATGGCTCCGGGGAGAGCCGGGGAGGCCCGAGGCGACGCGGCCGGCAGGAGCCCCGTGGCTAATGGCAGCATCGCTGCGGGGTCGTCACATTGTGTCGCGCCGGGTCCCGGGCCAGGAGCGAAGGTTCGCTACGAGTGCCCAGGGAGGGGGTGCCGGGGGGGATGTAGAAGCCCCTCGCCACATTTCAGAGCCCCGGTATCACCCCCACCCCGTGCCACCCTCACCCCCAGCCACCCCCGAGCCGGGCAGGCGATGCTGTCGGGGGGGGTCCGCGGGGGCTCAGCTCCGTCTCTCCTCTCTGTGCCCCCCCAGCCGCGAGCCAGGAGCCCGTGAGCATGGCCGGGCAGTGCGACACCATCTACAAGGGCTTCGCCGGCTGCCTCATCAGCCTGGGGGACAGCATGGCCCAGAGCGTCCGGCAGCAGCAGGAGGAGGGCGGCGAGGAGGCGCAGGAGCTGGACACCATCTGCAAGTGAGTGTCCCCGTCCCTGTGGGAGCCGCTGGGAGGCCGAGTGACCTGCTACCAGCATCCCTCCCCCCACTCCTACCCTCCTCCCCAGGTCCTGGGACGACTTCCACACCTGTGCCAGCGAGGTGCTGTCGAAATGCCCCGTGGAAGCGTCCGCGATCTGGGAGTCGCTGCGCCAGGAGTCCCGCAAGATCCAGTTCCAGGGGAACCTGCAGGAGCTGTGCAGCTCCCGGGGGCGCCTGGCCAGCGCCCGGGGCTCGCCGGCCGCTGAGACCAACCAGGCCACGCTGCGGGGCTCGGCCACCCCCCTGCACCCCCGTGTCCTGGCCCTGCTGGCCCTGCCGCTGCTGGTGGCCCGGCTCTAGCCCTGCCTGCCCGGGGGTGCCCGGGGGACGCCCCGGGTCGGTCCCCTCGGTGCTGGCCGGGAAGAGGTACCCACTGAGCCCACCCTCCATCCTGGGCATCCCTCGCGGGGCACGGTCCTCTCCTGCAGCACTTCAGATGGATTTATATTTATATTAAAAGACACTTTTACATTTCTCCTGTCTCTGTGCCACGGGATGTCCCTCACACCCTTCCCAAGCTCTGGGAATTGGAGAGGAGATGCTCCCTGGATCAGTCACCAAGCAGGGCCAGCAGGGAGGGTCAGTGGCTCTGTCCCCAGGAGCCCCAGGAAGGCTATCCTGGGGATTCCCACTGCCCTGGTGTTCCCTGACAGCTGCTTTCAGGGCTGGGCATAGAGGATATTCCCTCTAGGGGTGAATCAAATGGTTTCTTCATTGTAAAGGTCACCTTAGGAAAGCACAGGACGTGTATTTCTCTTTTTGTCTTTTTTGCAGCTGGTAGCTTGTCCTCTGATGGGCAACTCCAGCAACATTTTCTGTGAGGAATCCTATTTTCCAATCCTTTTATTTAAGTCCTGCTGTATTCACGGTCATGAAGAAAACTGGGGTTTGCAGGGAAGAGAGGGGGTTTTTTTTTAGCCAAAGTGATAGAGGTGAAAAAACACGGAACTGAAGCTTTCATCCAGGTCCCAGTGGGACTTGTTGAAGTTGAACCAAGGTGATGTGTGGGAGTTTAACTTGGTTAAACTTGTGTGCCCATCGGTGGAAGACACTGCAATTCCCATCCCTGTTAATGCTGAAAAGTTAAGATTTTTTTTCCCAGCTACTAAAAAAATCCTTTGTGCAAACCCGCTCCCCCACGCGTGGGCTGGCAAGGGGCCTCCCCACTCTCCAGGACACAGCCATCGGCCCCCCTGCACCCAAAGGGCCACTGGAATTGCAGATGGGCCACTCCAGCTGTTGCACAGATCCCAGGCTCCTCACTGGTGCAGACTCCAGCTCCCAGCAGTGGTGGGTAGATCTGTTGGGCATGTGGGAAAAGATCCCACTTGGGAAAGGTGAAAAAATCCTCTGGCCAGCACGAGTGCCACCACGCTGTGGATTGTGCCAGGCTCAGCCACGAGCAGGAGCGATGAGCTCCTACGTGCCTGCCGTGAGTAGCAACTTGTTGCCATTTCTGTGATTCCTGGGGTGACCTCAAGGCTGTCCCAAACACATTCCAGCAGCTGGGCACACAGTTTTGGCCCAGGGAAGTGTTTTCCCGCTGGCCCGTGGCCGAAAGCCTTCAGTGTGTGAGTGAGGAGCTCAGTTACTGCTGTCTTTGTTGGGCCAGGGAAAATTATTGTTTGTTTCATCGTTAAACCTCTTCCTGTGAGGCCTGGTCACGTGTGACCCCTGACCTCTGGGATGTCACCCTGGCTGTCCCAGTCCCGTGCCAGCCTCTGGGGCCAGGAAACACTGCCGGGGTTGTTGTGCTGTGGTGCATCCCTCAGGGCTGGGCAGTTGCTGTGGATCCCTCAGCTTTATGGGCAGCCTCACATTTATTTCATGTTATTTATTTCATTACCAGCCTGGAGCTGACTTGGGGGGGGACACAAAACATCTGGGCTCGCTGGGGGATGGTGGGACTGGCGCCCCATGGGACATGGGGCAAGACACCACCCTGTCTCTCCTCACCCAGCAGCTGCCGCTCCCCGTGTTTAACGCCAGCGCTGGGGGGATAATCCGCCGATTCTTCCCTTCCCGGTTCCCGACAATCCTGTGTTTAAGAGTGAATTAGTGCCGGATCCCGGCAGGGTGGCTAAGAGGATAAACACCAGCCGGGCGCCGGCCACGCACCGCGCAGCGCCCGCGGCCCCGCCGGCACCTCCCTGGGGATGGGAGCGGTGGGATCACTGCCGGGGGGGCTCCCCAGGGTCCTGCACTGGGAGGCAGCCGGGGAGATGGAGCACCACCGGCGAGGTGCTGTGACACGCTGTCACCACGGCGGTGACACTCGCGGTCAATAAACCGTGCTGCTTCCATCCCGTTGGGATCAAAGCCCAGGATCAAAGCCGCTGTCACCCACCGAACGCTCCGGGCGCCTCACTCTGCCTGTGGAAAGACACGCCTCGCGTGTACCGTGTCCTGGAAGACGTCGCCATACGTGTCACTCACCCTTAGCCGTGTCACTGTGTGTCCTGAGCACCAGCGTGTCACATGGCTCACACCCTTGGCACTGCTTCCACACGTGTCCTGCGGCTGGAAGGTGACACCAGAATATGTCAGCACACAGTGCCTGTAGGCACTGATGGGCCTGGGGAATTGGGATTAGGATTTGAGGGTGCCGGGCTGGGGTGGGCCTGTGGGTCACCACTGCTTGGTGACACCCCACAGTGCAAGAGTCCTTAGCAAAGCACTGTCCAAACCCCACTGCCACCTGTGCCGCCTAATCCTCCTTCGAGAAGGTGCTGCAGGGCTGAGAGTGGCAGTGTGACAGCAAGGATGGGCGTGCCAACCAGCCAACCATCCGAAAGCTCTTTGGGTGCTCCAGAACTGGGACGATGAGCTGGTGCCTGTCTTTCCATTGGGTCCAAAGGTTTGGGGCAGCCCTGCAGCTGTGTCCTGTTGTGGGAAGGGACAACGTCCTCGTTCCTGCCCCCAGAACAAACAAGTGGCTCCCTGCACACTGGCAGCATCTTAAAGCAGCTGTCCAGGCTGAAACCTGAGGATCTGGGGGACAGAGGCTGGTGGACCCCGGCAACAGGAACCTCTGGAGCACCCAGTGTGCTGTGAAAACCCCTCATTCCGGTTATGAAACTCCGGTGACCTACTTTACACTCCCTGCTTTTGTTCCTAATTCCCAGATATGGCCGCTCTCCAGATTTTGCCCATCAAGGCAAATTAATTGGAGTAGATCCTAATTTGCTCTCTGCTATTCTTTGGGCAGAAGATTAAATGCTCTGCAGACATTATCTGCCTCTCTCTTCTCTAAGAGACAAACCTGAATTATTAAAAAAAAAAAAGAAAAAAAAAAGGGATAAAGGCTGCCCGAGTCCGGCTGAGTTGATGTTTGAATTCACTTTTTGTAATCGCAGAAGGGGCCGGGGAGGTTCCCACGTCCTGGGCAGCTGGAACCAGATGGTGACACTATTCTGGGCAGCTGTGTGAGTGAGATGGCACACGTGGCACAGCGACACGAGGGCCAACCTCCCAACCACTTCACCCGACGCCTCCACCACACCATGGCTGAATCCTCCAGTCCTTTGCCCAGGGAAACTCCCCCCGGAGAAAGTGCTGGCCAGGGAATGACTCCTTGTCTGTGGGGATGCACTTGGGTTTTCCCAGCTGGATGGGTCGGTGTGGGGGCCACCAGCAGAAGGGGGATGTCTCCTTGCCCTCCCATGGCCCCCAGTGCCACCATTCCAGCCTGGTGTCCCCATGGAAGAGCCCACCCAGGCACCAGCAGAGCCGCCTCCTGCATCACCGGCACCCTGGGGCAGAGGGAGCGTTGGCAGCCGTGAGTAGCTTGGAGGACATTGTGTCACAGGCCTGGCCACTGCCTGAGCTGCGTGGGGATTTCTGCCGAGCCAAATGTCCAACTCTCCATAAGGAAACACCAAAAGTCAACCTCAATCCCTGCGGATCGCAGGCAGTGGGAACAGCTGAGCCGGAGTCACCTCTGCCGTGGGGGCTGTGCTCAGTCCCCCGCCTGGCACCCCATCTGCGCTCAGCTCTGGGGCTTTTTTATTCCCCAGAGAGGCATATGGAAAGTTGGATTTCTTTTTTAAGCAGCTTTAATTGAACATCCTCCCTCTCCGACCTCTGCTCAGCCTTCCCGGGACAACCTTGAGCTCTGGCCTGGCGTGGCCGCTGAGGGACGGGATGAAGCAGTGCTGGTGGGGGCCCAGGCACCCAGAGCCCAGAGGGACAAGAGGCTGCAGGGCCTCCTCGGCACTCAGGGCTTCACAGCCCACAGCTGGTGTCCCCAAGGAGCAAGGCACTTATTCAGGTGAGAAAACTCCCTGCTGTAGCCTCAGGAATGGCTCTAGATGGATTCACAAGTTTCAGGGGCCAATAGGGGGTGACCACAAAGCCAAACTGAGTGCCTGACCTGGCAGGCAGTGAATCATGTGGATGAGCAGACAGTTCCCAGCCTCATCCCTGGGTGCTTTGCCAGGCGGATGTCGGCTTTGTGCGGATGTCTGGTGTGATGTTCTCTTGGCTCCAGTGGGTCTCAGAGCACCACCACGGCATAAATAATACAAGAGCGAGCTGCTCTGATTAAAGTTCTCAGAAGTCCGTGGTTCTGGCCCAAGAGTTGGATACATGTTGGCTCTTTGACATTTTCCAGTGGTGATGGGCCTGGAAGTGCCTCTGTTTGATGTTCTCATGGGGCTGGTGGGGAAACAAAGCTGTGAGGAAGCAGCTAATGGAAGATGCATCCCCTGAGGGAAATGCATCCTTGCAGAGCACTTATCCCTGTGGCCAAGGTGAGGCAGCCCACTGCTCTATACCCAGCTGTAGCAGCTGGGATGCAGAGGAGAGGCACACGCTGGTGGCACCAAGCTGGGATGACCTTGAGAAACAGCCTAAAATAACAGGATCAACTTAAATTGGGACACGTGCAAGGTTTTACACGACAGACACAGGCTAAGCCACCTCCCAGGGACAGTGCAGAGGACGTGTGGCTGTGGAAACATCTCCAGAATAAAAAGGTGGGGGTAAGAGGGCTGAAAATGCACCAGCAGCACCATTAGTGTGTGGGGACAACAAGAACTGGGGAATTTTTCTTGCAGGGAACTGTACAATTCACCAAATCTGTCAGGTCCATCCCAGGCAGCCCCTTCTCAACCCTCACACATTTCCATGCTTTATTGGGAATTACGTGGAGAAGAAGCTGATGACAATAGTGTGCATCAGCAGGTACAACTTTTATTACATTATGACTTACTAATCATTTTAAACAACCGAAGATCCCAGGAGTATTGAAATAAACCCAGCTATTTTTAAAAGCATGGTAGGAGTGTGAAAATAGCCCCACTCCACCCGAACCGCCTCGGGAATGACGTGACAGCCAGGCTGGAAAACAAGCCCGGCAGTGTCGTGTTTGTATCTTCCCCAGAGAAAGGAGAGCCGTCAGCATCCCTGCAAGGTGTCATCCTTCATCCCCCTGCTTTCAGGTCATCCAGGGCCGGGACGTGGAGTGTTTTGTTG